TCCGAACACCACTGGCCACATCTGAAATATTGCAAGGAGCTATAGGAGAGGAATTACGCAAAGCGTGGCCGTGTCACAGTTACAGATTTCCTGTGCACCGTGGTGGTGCGGACACAGGTCGGCCGTGGTGTGCACGGGGTCAGGCTTCGTCTTCTCGTCCCTCTTTGCTCCCCGCTCCTCCCCTCACCAAGGGAGCCCGGGCTGCCCTCCTGGCCACACTTTGGGAGGCCGTCCTTGTCCTTGAAGCAGGGCCCCAGCGATGGCTCTTCAGCTCCAGGAGTCCTGTGGTCGAGATCCGGCGTCTCTTTACTGTTTTTAAAGTGTTTTGCTGCTGGGAAGCCTCAAGCCTCTCTGCAGAGGGACATAAATAAAGGCAGGAACTTGGCCGTTAGCAGGCTTCGTGTGGCGTTTCCACGCGGGAGCGCCCTGGGCGTGCTGCAAGCAGCCCTCACCAGCCAAGAGCGGCGGGGAGGATCTGGAGTGCTCCGGCGCTGGGTCAGGTGCCTCTCACTCTCTGGGCCGCAAACAGATGGGGGTGCCTGGCAATGTGTCCCCCGCCTAGGTGCCATGGGGGGAGCAGGGTAAGCCCACCCTTGGGATGGAGCTCAGTGGCCGTGGTGGGGCAGGTGAGAGGCAATGCCTCAGAGTGCTCCTCTCCACGCCTGCCTCTGTTCCCCAGCTGGACATGGCGCTGGCAAACAGGTCATGGAGGCTAGAACCCAGGGCCCTGGGCGGAGCACTCCCTAGCAGTTGTGGTTCAGGTTTGGAGCCAGGCTGACCCTGGTTCAAGTCCTGTTGCTGTGTGCGGCCGTGTCCCTGGATGGGTCCAGCGTGTAGACTAGAGACGGTGATTGTCCGCTCCTGGGTGCTGGGCTCAGAGCTGCTGGCACCAGCGCTGGGGGCTGTCACCCCCAGAACTTGAACCTCACAGGCAGTTGGGGAAAGGTCCGTGTGCATAGAGCTCAAAACTCAGCCAGCGCCCCACGTGCCCATGAGGACTCTCCATCTCCTACCCAACCCAGATGAGGTGCCTGCTCGCCACCCCGGGCAGGGAGTCTGTCATTCTGGCTCAAAGGTGGAAACCGAATGGGGGGCTGGTGGCAAAGTTCCCCAGGGGGTTTCACTTCTGGCAGGTGGAGGGGGTGGGAGGCGTGCCTGGAGGCCTGACATCAAGCTGGGTGAGTTGGACCCCGCAGGCTTGAATCTAAGGGGGCTCAGAGGGTGACAGGGGTCTCAGGCCACGTCTCCAGCCTCTGCCCACCTAGCCCTGCGCCTCTGCTTTCCTTCCTTTAAAAACTGCTACTGGCACGTTTTCTTGGATTACCTTTATGCTGAATAACACTAACCTTCCTAAAGCAAAAAATACTTGCCTATGATAAACAACTGGAACTGGGCAGACATCGATCGAGGCCCCTGCAATGTGACTTTCCTCGTGTGTTTTCGGGAGATTGTGGAGAGCCGCCGAGCCTGGGAGCAGCGAGGGCACAGGCAAGAACTGTGGCCGGGAGGGTCCCAGGAACTGCACAGATAAAAGTGACAGGAGCGAGAGGCCAATTAGAAAGCAGTGCCAGAGCCGGGCGCGGCGGCTCATGCCTGTAATCCCAGCACTCTGGGAGGCCAAGGCGGGCGGATCACCTGAGGTCAGGAGTTCGAGACCAGCCTGGCCAACATGGTGAAACCCCGTGTCTACTAAAAAAATACAAAAATTAGCTGGGCGTGGTGGCGCATGCCTGTAGTCCCAGCTACTTGGGAGGCTGAGGCAGGAGAATTGCTTGAACCTGGGAGGCAGAGGCTGCAGTGAGCCAAGATCCCACCACTGCACTTCAGCCTGGCGCCTGGCGACAGGGCAAGACTCTGTCTCAAAAAAAAAAAAAAAAAAAAGAAAGAAAGAAAGCAGCGCCGGAAGCTGGTGAGGAGCCGCAAAGGTGGGGTTTCCTTGAGGATGCCTGGAAGCCATCCTAGGGTGCCGGAGCTCTGGGAGAGCTCAGGGGCTGGCCCTGAGTTCGAGATCAAGGGTTTTCTTGAGGATGCCTGCAAGCCGTGCTGGGTGTGGGTGTCTGGGGAAGTGTGGGCTGGCCCTGAGTTTGAGATTGAGGCCCAGGCTGAGAGCACGATGACTCCTACATTGTGGGGTCACTCGAGCTGTGTGCTCCCCAGGAGCAAGAGCAAAGAGGGCAGAAGGAGGGGGGCCAGCAAGGAGGCCCCCAGAATAGGACATGAGTTCCCTGCCTGTCCCCAGGCACTGCTAAGAGGGAAGAAAAGCTCTTCTGCCCCTCCTGCCCCTCCTGCTCTCCTCCGCAGAGTCAGGGGGCCCCAGGTGGCTGTGGCCAGCCCATCCAGGGATCTGAGCCCCAGAGCCCTCATGCTGGCCAGGTGAACAGAGCTGGCTTGGCTGCAGCTGTGCTGACCCTGCAACCTTCCCCGAGGCCTGAGGACGCCATGCTCCCTGCGTGCCAGCAGGTTGTAACTGGGTTTCGCTCGGGGCCTCTAGCACCGACCAGCATGTCCCAGCCCCTGCCTCCTCAGTCCCTGAGTGTGCGCCCCTGATGGTTCTGTAACCTCCGGCCGTGGGCCTCCTTCCCTCCCGCCTCCTCAACGGCTCTGATTCCACCGGGCAAGGTCAGGCTGGCACGAAGGAGTTGGAGCTGGAGTGTGGGCACCAGGCACAGAGTATGCTTCTAAGGGCCGCCTGTGGGGAGCTCCTGATCTGCCCACTCCTGAAATAAGGGGCGCCCAGAGCAGAGGGGATTCCGGATGGGTAGGCAGCAGGCACCCGCCGCCATCCCAAGGAGAGTCACAGCCTGTGAGGATGTTGACCCTGGTAGGACCTGCCTCCCTGGGCTGTGCCAGGGGCTCTGGGGCCTGAGCCCCCATCTCCAGTGCAAAATGCAGAGGCGTGGGAGGGAGTCCAATGTAACAGTGTCTGCCAAACACAAGGCCTGGCGCCACCTGGGAATGTCCCCCTGCCTGTCCATCCCTCCCTCCCCCACCTCCTCATCTGCAGACGGTGGGACGGACATCTGGCAGAGCATCTTCCATGACTCGTGACCTCCCAGAGATGCATGTTCTAGGGGTCCCCACGTACAGTCAAGAACACAGAGGCTAAGAGGGGTGAAGGGACTGGCCCTGGGTGCCAGGCTGCTCCAAGCAGCCCAGGACTCAGCCTTGGTCCTCCTGCCCCTGCCCCTGGTCCCCACCTCCGCGCGGTGCGCAGGTGGCCTTCTGCTCAGGGTGCCCAGGTGTTCAGCAGGTTTGTACTCAGAAATTTCGAGGTGGCACAGGGTGTCCTAAGCTGCCCCTCAGCCGGTCTTCACCCTGGCGCCTTCACCAGACACCCGCCGTGGCTCTTGGCTCAGTGGGCAGCTGAGTGTGCCCTCTCTGGGTTCTGACAGGTTCCAGTTTGTTTTCTGAGACCTTGTCAGCGTGGGGCCTGCCGGGGAGCAGGTGCTCGTCTTTCAGGGGACGGCTTATCCTGGGCCCCACAGGCTGCCTGGGGCCTCGTTCAGGTGACTCCTACACGCTGAGAAGAGGAGCTGAAAAAGGATTCGCAGGGAGTGCAGGTGACTGTTTTTAAAATGAGGCCGAAGCTTTCACCACATCTCGAAGACAGGCTGACCTGAACGTGGAGGTTTGGCTGGAACCGAACCAGGCAGGTGCCATCCACTGCGGCTCCTGCCCCTCCTCTCGGAATCCCCCAGGCCCTGGTTTCTGATTTCAGACTCGCCTCTGCTCCGTTTCATGTCTCCTGCAAGCAGACAAGCATGAAGCCTGCCCTCCGAGGCCGCATGAATAATAGAACTGAAATCATCCCTAGTTAAAAATAGATATTCTTCTTAATAAATATTTTACATACTGTCTTTAGGATATACAGATCCCCTGGCTGAAGAGTTAAAGCAAATCCTGTTATTGAACCCAAAGGCTGTCACAAAGGCTCTGCCCGGGCTCTGCCAGCACGTTCCTGTGCCACGGCTCTTGCCTCAAAGCCACCCACTCTGCGGTGACGTCCGAAGCCGGTAGCGCACACACGGATAACGTCGGAACTCATAGCCAGGAGCGGCTTGGGAATTCTTGGGTGTATTAGTCACCTATGAATTTTATGGAGCAAGTCAATTATAAAGTGCCCTTGGTTAGTGAGCCCTGGCGTTCAGAAGAGCCAAAAGCAGGTTCTTACGTTGCGGCTGCGAGGCAAGGCCTCTGCCGTGACTGGAAGCTGGGGCGTCTGGGGGCAGCTGTGTGCAGGAAGAGAAAATTCTGGGCAGAAGCAGCTGGAGTTTAAAGTGCTGGCCCGTTTCCGAAAACTTTGCAAACGTAGAGCGATCTTGAAGGTCTCCATCAAGGAAGGCATGGAGTGATCTGGTTGTGGCAAATGCATTTAAATGATTTGCAGGAAGACCTCGTAGCCTTGCTCCCACCCCCATGCTCTTCCCGGGGAAGGCGGAGGCAGCTAGGAAACGCTGGAGCCTGCCCAATGTGCAGACCACTTCCTGGGGACCCCATCCTGCATGGCACAACGCAAAGGCTGGAGTGTCCTTATTTAACAGGAGAGGAAAGTGGATACCAGAAGGGCAGGGTATGCTGGGGCTGGAACAGACAAGCCAAGTGGGGCTGGAGGGCCCGTGTCTCATTCCCTTTGCCCCACACCTCATCTGGTCTGGCTACGTGGTATTCTGGAGCTGAATGAAGAGACCCTTCTCTGTCAGGGCCGCCTGCCCCAAGGAGGGGCTGCTGCTTTCCTTGTGTTCCACATACTCTGAGGACATTTTGCTTTAGCACCCAGGGCCCTGGATGGCATGTAGGGCTCTGGAGCAGGTCTGTCTCTGCTCTAGACGGTGAATCCTTGAGCCCTGGTTTACAGCTGGGTCCCTGGTAGATGTTTTGTTACATGGGTGGGTGGGTAGGTGGATGGGTAGGTGGGTGATATGGCTTGGCTGTGTCCCCACCCAAGTCTCATCTTGAATTGTAGTCCCCATAATCCCCACGTGTCAAGGGAGTGACCTGGTGGGAGGTGATTGGATTATGGGCATGGTGTCCCCCATGCTGTTCTTGTGATAGTGTGTGAGTTCTCATAAGATCTGATGGTTTTAAGTGTTTGGCAAGTTCCTCCTTCACTTACACTTCTTATCCTGTGAAGATGAACCTTGCTTCTTCTTCACCTTCCACCATGGTTGTGAGTTTCCTGAGGCCTCCCCAGTCATGTGGAACTGTGAGTCGATTAAACCTCTTTCCTTTATAAACTACCCCGTCTTGGGTAGTGTCTTTATAGCAGTGTCAGAATGGACTAATGCAGTAGGTAAATGGACAGGTGGGTGGGTGAGTGGATGGTGGATGAATGGATGGATAGATGAGTGGGTAGGTGGATGAACAGATAGATGTGTGGGCGGATGGAGGGATGGAGGGATGAGTAGATGGGTGGATGGAGAGGGGATGGAGCAATGGAGGGGTAGGTAGATGGGTCGATAGATGGGTGAATGGAGGTATGGGTGGATGGGTGGCTAGATGGAGGGATGAAGGGGTGGATGGATGAACAGGTGTGTATGGATAAGTGAATGGAGGGATGGGTAGATGGGTGGATGGCCAGGAGCGGCTCAGCAATGGGTGGAGGGAGGGGTGGATGAGTGGAGGGGTGCGTAAATGGATGGATGGGTGCATGTGTGGATAATTGGATGGAGGGATGGTTGGATGCAAGGATGCATGGTGGGAGGGATGGTGGATAGGTAGATGGATGAATGATGGAGAGAGGGCTGAGTGGATGGATGGATGAGCGGGTGAATAGTTGGGTAGATAAAGGGATGGGTGAATGGGTGGATGAATGGAGGGATGGGTGGATGGGTGGAGGGGTGGGTGGATGGATGGGTGCATGTTTGGATAAGTGGATGGAGGGATGGGTGGATAAGGGGATGGAGGGATGGGTGGATGGGTGGAGGGG